CCCACTGGACGGTGAAGTGGGCGCTCATGTTATTACAGTCGAGTGCAATGCAACGGAGTGTTTACGTGTGGAGTCGCGACCACCGCATTCACCACAAGTTCAGTGAGACGGACGCCGATCCGCACAATTCTAATCGGGGTCTGTTTTTTGCGCACATCGGGTGGCTGTTTGTCAAAAAACACCCGGAGCTCATTGAAAAGCGCCGCGAGATTGACTGCAACGATCTCACCGCCGACCCAGTTGTCATGTTCCAGAAAAGGCACATGGCCATTTTGGTAGTCATTATGCAGTTAATATAATTTTATGAATTTAATTTTAAATATCATGTGCTTTAATTGAATAGTCGCTAATGTGTGGTATAGTAATACCGGTGGCCGTACCGGTGCTACTATGGGACGAGAGCTTTGCCAACGCGTTCATAGCGAACATAATCCGATACCTCTATGCACTTCACTCGACATTTTTGGTTAATTCTGCGGCACATATGTATGGAATCAGGTTTGGTATCAATAAATAAATTAGACCATAATAGTTTTTGTTAACAAATTCTACTTTAATCATTATAAAATAGACCTTACGATGAGATAATAGAGCCCCGAGAGAGCAGTGTTGCCATTTATTTCACGTTTGGCGAAGGGTATCATAATTTTCACCACACGTTAGTTATTATTATTACATAATAAATAATTTAGAAATTTATAATTAATCATTTTAAAATTAACTAATTATTTACTCAGATTTCCATATGATTCCAACGCCTCAGAACACGATTGGCGTTATAATTTCAATATACCGGGCCTTATACTGGCTGTGTTAGAGAAAATGAACCTGGTCCGCGATCTCAAACTTGCCCCCAAAAATTACGTAGCCAAACGAAAGAGCATGGTTAAATTAAATGGCCAAACGGGTGACAAAATTGTCAACACAAACTATTTTGATAACGTTATTGGCGTTGTCTATAATTCAAGCTTTTTGTGGATGTGTTATCTCTATTCGTGTGTGTTTTAAATGTAATTTAAAATTAATAAAAGTTAGATGTTTGATTTTTTAGAAATAAACAATTACCAAAAATAACACATTATATGTTTAATTAATTTGTTTACAATTAATTAGTTGCAACAATTCAGTTAATAACAAATATTAATTACACCTAATAAAGTAAATTTTAATTTAGAAATATTAATTATTATAAATAAAATGTTTACAATATGTGTTATTCTTAATTTAATTTAACAGATTTTGTTTTATTATACCTTTTGTTAAAAAACTGATAAAACAAATAAAAATACGAGCCGTATATGGCTAGTGAAACGCCGATGTGTTCAAAGCTAACGCCACAGCCGTTGCCATAAAATTTCAATACAAATGACATTAAAGTAATGAATAAACCGAAAAACATTTGCAATATTTGAACGATTGTTATGGATTTGGCCAAAACGGAGGGCACTCTCACCCGCACCGCTTGCAGCGCGTAATACGAGTACATAAACGAGTGGACCGTATAATTCACAAACGCAAACCATCGGCCTGTACTGCCCATGAAAGAATACGTCCACCAGGCGAACATGAGCACGGTCACGTGATGGTACCAGTGCAAAAACATCACGGGCTTTTTTCTTAGCACAAGAAACACAGTGTCCAACAGTTCAATACTTTTTGATAGTGTGAACAGTAGTCCCCACAGACCCGCTCGGAGGGTGTGAAGATCTTTGTGGCAAATACTATACCCAAAGCCGTAGTTTACTAACCGATAATAAATCTCTTCACCACATCTTGATACAAAAAATAACAATATTGTTATACATTATGTACTGTATATTGTTTTAATAAAATATTCTCTTATTTATGTAATATTTTATTAATTACCTGATAGTCCCTATTGTTGAGAATACGGCTAATAAGGTATTCCATACAAATAAATATCCATTTAAATTAAAGCCATTTTTATTTTTCATCCAAAGTTTTAGACTATATATAAGACACACGTATGCGATGGACACGTAGACAGAGATGTGCCAGTTTTGGACAAACCATGCAATCCATTCGGTTTCGTTGAAATTGATTTCTAAATCGTTGATTACATCCATATTCTGTTTGACTAAAAATAAAAGTCAGGATTAGTTACTTAATTAACAACGTGTGAAACTTAATAGATTATGATAATTAATTTAAAAAATGCAAAGAGCATATACTTGCCCCGATTAATTTAGATTTTTAAAAATTTGTATTACTTTGTATTATCATCAATATAATTTAAATTAAACTAAGTATACTAAGAATTTAAATTTATACTAGATCTATATAAAATAAATAAATAAAAGAAAATAAAAATTTATTTATTTGGAAGAACAAATAATTATAAGATTATTATCACATTTATCCTTATAATCTATTTATAATAAATTAAATTATCTACGTTTTAAGTATTTGACGAATCTTGGCAATTTTACCATTAAAACTCGATATTATGTACAGGATACTGTAGGGACTATAAGCTTAACCGTTTAAAATTATAATTTCTAAAAATATTAGTCTTATTAACTTTAAAAACATATTATTTTAAGCTTAACTTTGATCATTAATAATTAAAATTTTAAAGTTTCTGTAAAAATTATTTAATTTGTATATAATTTATGCTTAAGTCTAATAAATAGGTTTTATTGTATTAAACTTTTATAAGATATGCCAATTTTGACCATGATTATAAATTCAATTATTTGTCAAATATAATAAGTAATTCACGTATATTTCGATGAAAACTATGCAAAACTCATCAATCAATTGGCAGTGAAATAGATTTCTTAGAAAATAATTGTTAAGTAATTTTTACAAAATATATCCTTAATTAAAAGTGTAAAACTATTTTACACAACAAATGCTCAAATTTTGTAAACTTTATTGTCACTTAAAGTATTTAAAATTATCTTGATAATATTTACCTTGTGTTTGTTGTCATAGTTACCTAATTAGAGGTTTATAAAATAAATTAAAATTTAACTTGCTTAATTTAAATCATAATAAAAGTAGTATAATTTTTAAAAACTGATAACTTGTTTAATGATAATTATGATAATAACAATCCTGGATTTTAAAATGTTTTACATATCATTCTTAATAAATAGAAATTAATTATTTATATTAGAGTTATAATCATTACAAATAAAAATTTAATTTAATTTAACTAATTTTGTTTTACGATATCTATCGCTGAAAAACCGATAAAACAGATAAAAATACGAGCCGTAAAGAGCGATGGAAACTGCGATGTGTTTAAAACTAACGCCACAGCCGTTGCCATAAAATTTCAACCAAAACGACATTAGAGTAATAAATAAACCAAAAAACATTTGAAATATTTGGCCGATTGTTATGATTTTGGTGAGGGCTGAGGGCACCTTCACCTGCACCGACTGCAGGGCGTAATAGCCGTACATAAATGAGTGTACGGTATAGTTGACAAACGCAAACCATCGGGCTGTACTGGCATTCAGCGAGTACGACCACCAGCAAAATATGAGCACGGTCACGTGATGGTACCAGTGCAACAATATGACCGGCCGTTTTTTCAGCACCAGAAATAGGGTGTCCAACAGTTCCACACTTTTTGACATTATAAATAGGAAACCCCACAAACCAATAGTCGGTGTGTGATAGTCTTGGTTGCATATACTATACCAGAAGCCATGGTTTCCCAACCGGTATTGAATCTCTTCGAGTCCCCTATGGATTGGTTGACGTGAAAGTGATTTATTATTTTAATAATTGATTTTATAATTATTTATAATTACCTAAAACTTCCAATGATTGAGAATATGGTTAATAATATGTTCCACGCAAACAGATAGCCGTTTAATTTGAGGGCATTTTTGTTTTGCATCAAAAGTTTTAGGGTATATATGAGACACAAGTATGCGATGGACAGGTAGACAGAGATGTGCCAGTGATTAACCATCCATTGGTGCCATACGTATGGATTGAAATTTGTCTCATAACGGTATAGTCGGTCCATTTTGTTTAATAAAATATCTACAATATTAATATGACCACATGATAAACATGATATACTGTATACTTTACAGTTAAGTACAAACAGTTAAGTGTATATTGCGTATAATATACAACACTAAACTTGTAATTAAAATTACCTCTATCAAATCATCCGTACGATCCTATTTCACTAAAAAATAAATATTTGTATTAATAAATTATAACGTTTTAGTGTTTTATTATTAAAGAATTGTGATTACTTTGGATTAATTATAACGAGTTTTTATGCAAACATTTTACAAACGTCTGAAACACTGACAAATGTTTCATAAGAAAATTATTGAATTCGCCGAAAATTAATTGCATTTCATTGTTTTTATTGATATAACACATGTGTTTGTAATACAGTTTTATTATAAATTTCATGTAATATTATTATTATTATATGATTTAAGATTATTATACTGTATGGCAATAATTAAAATTGATTATTATTAAAATATCGTTTTAATTAAATGTAGATAATTATTTGTTAGTTTGTTATTATTGTAAATTTTTAAAGCAAGGTATATCTTATAAAATTGTCATATAATTATATATAAAGTTCAAGCAATTAGTAATTATAATTTTTAAGTAACAATTAATTTAATTTAATTACTTTTTTATTATACCTATTCATAAAAAACTTATAAAACAGATAGAAATACGAGCCGTAGAGAGCGATGGAAACGCCGATGTGTTCAAAGCTAACGCCACAGCCGTTGCCATAAAATTTCAATACAAATGACATTAAAGTAATGAATAAACCGAAAAACATTTGCAATATTTGGCCGATTGTTATGGCTTTGGGGAGAGCGGAGGGCACTCTCACGCCCACCGACTGGAGGGCGTAATAGGTGTACATAAACGAGTGTACTGTATAGTTGACAAACGCAAACCACATGCCTGTGCTGGCAATGAGAGAGTACGACCACCAGCAAAATATGAGCACGGTCACGTGATGGTACCAGTGCAGTAACATTACGGGCTTTTTCCGCAATACCATAAATATAGTGTCGAATAATTCAAAACTCTTTGAGAATATGAACACAAATAACCAAAACCCCGATCCTTGGGTGTGATATGGGATATGACTGCATATACTATAATCAAAACCATGGTTTACCAATCGGTATAACATTTCGTCTAAAAGTCTGCAAAAGTGTTGCGAATAAATAATTATATGTTTTGATTTATAAAATGATAATTTATTTACGATTACTTGAAAGTACCGATTGTTGAGAATACGGCTAATTCGGTATTCCATACAAACAGATAGACGTTTAATTTAAACGCGTTTTTGTTTCGCATCCAGAGTTTGAGGCCATATATAAGACACACGTATGCGATGGACAGGTAGACCGAGATGTGCCAGTTATGGACAAACCATTTGTGCGATCCGGTTGTGTTGAAATTGCACTCAAACTCGTGCAGTGTTTCCATTATATTATACTTAAACATAATAAAACTAAACTAACTTTTATAATTCAGAGGCTTGTTACTTTGTATATAATAATTTATGTTTATTGGTTATTAATGGTAATAATTTAGTATATTCCTTTTATAGGAATTCAAGTGCATCTTGATATAATACATTTTATTTATTTTTTTTGGAATTAAATATTTTTAATTTTTTAATAATTAAAAATGTTGCAATTAATTAAATAATTAATTATAATGATTATTTACATTTGCATAATTTACAGTACCTCGTACATTTCTATCCTACAATGGTTACATACAATTGCGACTGTTTTTCATAATTTGTAATGAAATTATAGCTTAATATGTAGTAGTGAGCGAAATCTAAAACCGAACCCGAGTTAAACCCGAACCCTTTAGGGTTCGGGCCGGGTTCGGGCCTGGTTTTTAAAATTCGGGTTGGGTTCGGATTTGGGCCAATGTGAACCCGAACCCGAATCAGACCCTAAACCCAAAAGTGAACCCTATACTCAAAAGACATGCGTGGACTCATAAAATTGTTGTTTTGCATTACATATAACAAATAGAAGTCAAAAAAGTATTGTTTTATAGTTTTAAAGTAGCATCAGTTCAATTAAACGTCATAAATGTGGTAAAACGCGTATAAAACCTACTATATTATCATATTTTTCGGGTTTAGGGTTCGGGTTGGGTCGGGTTTGAAATTTGGATCTAGGGTTCGGGTCGGGTTCGGGTCGAGTCTATTCGGGTTCGGGTTGGGTCGGGTCGACGATTTTGTCAACATTTCGGTCACTAATATGTAGTATATGTAGCGTGACCACCTCTAGGTTTAAAAATAGAGAACATTTGACCAAATTCCCTTTAAAATAGAGAACACATATTTTACGTTAATTTTTTTTTTAAATTTAAAAATCGAGATTATTTAATACCAATGTTGAAGTAACATTTATTGTGTTAGTTGTATTAAAAATGACAATTATTAATCAAGAAAGTGTCAATTTCTTTAAAAAGTTTAATATTGTATAAATAAATAAATATTTAATAAATTTAGTAACATTTCTATTTTTAATTTTAAATTTAAAATAGAGAACAGTTCTCTATTTTGCCCAAATACAGGTCCAAATAGAGAACTATTCTCTGAAATAGAGCACAGGTGGTCACGCTAAGTATATGTCCAGATATTTGGGGCAGTTTTTAAATTGAAATTAAGATTTGTACCTTGCTTAAGATAAGCTAATTAAATGTGAAATATGAAATTTAATTAAATTTAATTAATAAGAAATTAATTATTATATAAGTTATTTGGATATTCTTAGAATGTCCTTATTATATACTAAAACACTATGTCTGGTAAAACGATCAGGTTGAGTTATCGACGATAACTTATCGCATAACTGTACTTGATTTATTTATTATTAAATACATTTATTTAATTAGTAATAAAGATTGCATAATTACATTACATATAATTATAATTAAACTTTACATAATTAAAAATTGTTAAAGTAATATACTAATTAACAATACTTCTAACTTGTAAGTTTAAACGAATATAATAAAATCAATTCTTTATTTTATACAATTATAGATTCATGTGGTTTTTACACGTAATGCATAATCTAGGTATAATTAAAGTAAATTTAGTTAATGGTTGAATGATTCAAATTAATTGGCAGTTGTATGTACATTACAGGTATGCGGCATACAATATAATATCATTAAACACCAACGTATATCAAGTAATTATCAGTATATTATTGGAAACATTATTTTTAACTAAATGTTAATTTAATTTAATTAACTTTTTATTATACCTATTTTTAAAAAACTGATAAAACAGATAGAAATACGAGCCGTAGAGAGCAATGGAAACGCCGACGTAATCGTAGTTAACGCCACAGCCGTTGCCATAAAATTTCAATACAAATGACATTAAAGTAATGAATAAACCGAAAAACATTTGAAATATTTGGCCGATTGTTATGGCTTTGGAGAGAGCGGAGGGCACTCTCACGCCCATCGACTGCAAGGCGTAATAGGTGTACATAAATGAGTGTACGGTATAGTTGACAAACGCATACCAAAACCCGGTGCCGGCATAAAGAGAGTAAGACCACCAGCAAAATATGAGCACGGTCACGTGATGGTACCAGTGCAGAAACATCACGGGCTTTTTTCGCAACACCAGGAATATAGTGTCCAACAATTCAAAACTCTTCGAGAATATGAACAAAAATATCCAAAGACCCGATCCCTGGGTGTGATACTCTTGACTGCATATACTATAATCAAAGCCATGATTTACCAATCGGTATAACATTTCGTTTAAAACTCTATGAAATGTGTCGAAAATAAATGATTATATGTTTTGTTTTTTAGAAATAATATTTATGACATATACCTGAAAGTACCGATTGTTGAGAATACGGCTAATAAGGTATTCCATACAAACAGATAGACGTTTAATTTAAAAGCGTTTTTGTTTCGCATCCAGAGTTTTAGCACATATATGACACAGACGTATGCGATGGACAGGTAGACCGAGATGTGCCAGTTTTGGACAAACCATTTCTGGCATTCGGTTGTATTGAAATTGATTTCTAAATCGTTGATTACATTCATATTCTGATTGACTTAAAATAAAAGTCAGGATTAGTTACTTACTTAAATTTAGCCTTAAAATTATAATAAATATGAATTACATTATTGGTTATTAAAGACGTGTAAAATTTAATTGATTATGATGAATAAAAGAAAATGCAAAAACTTACCCCAATTAATTTAGATTTTAAAAATTTTGGTTACTTTGTATTGTATGCCAAAAAGTAATAATTTTAATTTAAACTAAAGTATGAAATAAATAAATGGAAATAAAATTTGTTTATTTAAAAGAATAAATAAGTATAAGATTATTATCACATTTATCCTTATAATTTATTTGTAATAAATTAAATTATTTACGTTTAAAATTATTGACTAATCTTGGAAATTTTACAGTCAAATCTCAATGTTAACATAGCATTCAATTTTGTAAAATGTGTCTATTATTTTTACACAGAAAATAATTCATTCATCACCAAACAACAATTTATCATATTTATATAAAGAATATACTAACCTGTAGATCAATGTTAATCTTATGGATATTGTTTAAGACACTAATATCGAATTTAGAATTACAATAAATAACTCTACTAGTTGGATGTTAATTTTGTAATAATTAATTGTTTTAATAATTAAATAGCCATTTATTGTAATCCATGTGCACCAAGATTATTGGCATTTTAATTCTTTTTAATAGAATATTTTCTCATTTTGTAAATAAATAATTAATTATTATTTCCCACAAACGTGTAATTTATTTATAGTTGACATAACCCTCGAGTAAATACATTGCATAACAAATCAAGGACATGTAATTATTTTAGTGACAGTTTTGTAAATTATGTAAATCTTATCAATCAATTAACACTGAAATTTATTTAAAAATATTTGTAAAAATTAAATTTTTCCCAAAATTATATCCTTAAAAGTGCACATCTATTACTATATTAAGTTTCATTTCATACAATAAACACTACGATATGTAAAGAATAAAATGTTACACAAACAGTTACACAAACTTTTACACAAACTTTTACATAGATTTATTGAGTAAAACACAATTTAAACAACAGTATCTTTTAAATATTATAATTAATATTAATTTATTTTAAAGTACTAATTGTACGAAGTTATCAATAATTGAGCATGGAAAATTATAATATAGCTGACGGTAAACTAACATTATGTGATTTGGTTTTTGTATAAAAGTATACTAATATATATTGCAACATTTAATTATTTGTAACATTATTATTAATAATTTATTATAATCATAACTAAAGACTAATAATTTTTTAAAAATAACATTTAATTAATTTTGGCGCTCTTTGTCTTCTGATATCTATTATTAAAAAACTGATAAAACAGATAGAAATACGAGCCGTAGAGAGCGATGGAAACGCCGACGTAATCATAGTTAACGCCACAGTCGTTGCCATAAAATTTTAATGCAAATGACATTAAAGTAATGAATAAACCGAAAAACATTTGTAATATTTGGCCGATTGTTATGGTTTTGGTCAGTGCTGAGGGCACCTTCACCTGCACCGACTGCAGGGCGTAATAGGCGTACATAATTGAGTGGATAATATAGTTGACAAACGCATACCACCGGCCAGTGCTGGCATTGAGAGCGTAGGACCACCAGCAAAACATGAGCACGGTCACGTGATGGTACC